CTAAGGTACGTCGACTTCAGCTACGTTATTCACGTAGCTGAAGTTGCGTACCTTAGTTCGATTTGGGGGTTTAGTGTAGACCAAGCCATAGTGTGGACACAGATACACTGGTATAATGATGCAGTATAGTTTATTCCTCTTTCCTTATGAGACTAAGCTATACCTGTGTAAGGAACCTTTAGTATGGATGCAATTTTTCTTCAGGTGTTTGCACATGTCCATTTCAATGTAGGGGTATGGGTGCCCTGAATACAGTTGCTGGACTTTTTTCCATTAGTGGTATCCTTCAGGTCAACCCCAGTGATGCACAGTCTGTAGGGGAAGACCCTTTTCGAGACCCCCAACTGTCCATATACCTTGTCTCCGATGCCTTGGTGATGGGTTGGGGCGCCCATCTAGGGCACCTCAGGATTCAAGGTCTGTGGTCTGAAGAAGAGCTCTCGCTCCACATCAATATCAGAATTCAGAGCAGTCTGCCTGGCCTGCTGGGCATTCTTAACATACATTACAGACAAGGCAGTCTTGGTTCTCACGGACAATACAGCCACCATGTACTACATCAACAAGGCAGGGCGGAGCGTTCTCTTCCTCCCCGCCCCATGCCAGGAGAATCTTACCTACGGGTATACAGAACCAGCTCACAGATCACTTCAACAGGTCCTTCTCCACTCACCATGAGTGGTGCCTTCATCTAGATATCACAAGGGACATCTTCCAAAGGTGGGAGGACTCCCTTTATACATCTGTTTGCTACCCGCAGCAACAAGGAATGCCATTAGTTTTGCTCCCTGTGGGGCCACAACCTGGTAAGCTGCTCCACCCAAACCTCAGCTCTTCATCTGACAGCTTGGAATCTTCATGGCTGAATTCTGAAGAGCAAGCTTGCTCAGAGCAGGTTCGTAGAGTCCTACTAGGCAGCAGAAAACCCTCTACCAGGGCAACTTACCTGGCAAAGTGGAAACTATTCTCCATCTGGTCTTCCCAATGCAGGGTTCCACCTATGCAGTCCTTGTTGCAGCTTGTTTTGGAGTACCTTCTACTCTTAAAACAACAAGGTATCGCCCTTTCTTCAATCAAGGTCCACCTGGTAGCCATTTTGGCTTTCCATCCTAAGGTCAACAACAGATCTGGTATTTTTTACACTAAATGGTAATCCATTTTCTCAAAGGCCTGGAGAGGGCATTCCCTCAGGTAAAGGAACCAGTCCCTCCTTGGGACCTAAACCTTGTCCTGGCAAAGCTGATGGGCCTGCCCTTTGAGCCATTAGTGACATGCTCACTGTTGCATCTCTCCTGGAAGATGGACTTTTTAGTGGCCATCACTTTGGGCAGGAGAGTTTCAGAGATCTGAGCTCTCACGTCCGAACCCTCAGATACAATCTTCTTCAGAGATAAAGTACAGCTATTCCCTCACCCAAAGTTCCTCCAGAAAGTGATTTCACAATTCCACTGCAGCCAAGCAATTTTTCTACCAGTATTCTATCCAAAGCCACATGCACGTAGGGAAAACAATGTCTGCACTCCTTGGATGTTA